GATACAGAAATAGATCTATATAAAGTACCAGTTATATGTGTTTGTAATAAAGTGTGAGACTAGAAGTGACTTACTACAATGAGCAGAAAACTTCAGATTAGTCTCTACGATGTCACCATGCCAATCTGCAAAGACAGCCCAACAGTTTCCACAGCACTGTTAGTGGAGTTTAACAGCTTTGCAGGCTCAGGTCATCTCCTAGAAAGAAAGAAACTTTTCTCAAGGGTGATAAAAAACAAGGTCTTGAAGAGTTTTGAACAGTTGAAGCAGACCAGAGGGAATAAGAAACTTTTCTGTTCTCGTTTTACTGCTGGAGAACTGAGGCACAAAATATTTAACTGAATTGCCTAGGATCACATGCAACAGTTGTATTAAGACTAGTAAATAAATTCAGATAATCTTAGTCCAGATTCAGGCCCTTAGGTCATCTTTCTCTTGTAAAATAATTTTAAAAAATGCATTATGACTTCAGTTACTTGAAGCATCATGACTGTTTAAGAGAGAACAAACAGGGCTGACATTTCAATAATGAAGTAATCAAGATGGTTTCCCTTTGGTTTTTAGCTTTAGAATTATTTTTGGGGAGGTATAATTATAAATTCATAAATACTTAGATTGCACATGTTAAGGACTTCTATATTAAGAATCTGGAAGTCCATGCTTGTATCCAGTAGGACCTTCATGGAAAATGATTTTGTCACTTTGTATGAGACTTTGATTAACTAAAATTTGATTTACTGGATTCCAGTAATGTGGAATAATGTAGTGATTCAACAAGTTACTAAAACCCATCATTTTGTGTATTTAAGAATCAATGCACACTTGAGCTTTCTTTTGAATTATTTGAATTGTTTTGTTCTTTTGTCTAAATATTCTTAGCCTCTTTGATTACTGTGTTAATATATTTTATTTCTTCTTTCATGTCCTTTTTTTCAGTTGTCTGAAAAAAAATCAGTATATCTAGCAGACGTTGACAGACCATTTTAATTTAAGCAAATCATTTCAGTAAATATCTGAGAAGGCTAGTATGTCTAATTTCTCACCAAAATTACAGTCCTTCTTTTATTCAGTTCTGTATCTTTGCATAATCATTTAAATTTGAACCTATTTTGGAATTGTTAAAATAAGAAGTAGCTTAAAAATTGCATGAAATTATTATTTTCCTGGGCACCTTTTTTAATCCCCATATTTGAAATATTTGAATCCTAAGTTTAAAATGTGCTCCTTTCTTGATGAAGCAGTAAAATTCAATCTATATAAAAGAAGATTTTGCGTTCAGTTTCCAAGGCACTGGAATTCTATAGTATAACTGTCTAATGTGAATTAAAGTTAAATTACATTTCTTTTCTTCAGAAATATTAGTCAAAGTTCTACCAGTTAGGCTCTTGGCACCTTTCACTGTAGTGTAGTTTTTATTGTTTGTGTCATAGATAAGAAGACTTTATTCTCTGAAATGTAGAGGTGTGGAAAATGAATAATGCAACTTCAAGCATGCAGGAAATCTGACTAATACTTAAGAGGAATAATAGAGTCCTGGTGCAGTACTAGCTCAATTCACCAACCTTGAACCCTTTTCAAAGTAGGCAATTCAGCTGGCATGTTAAAGAAAGCAATTTTAATAGTAAGAATTAGAGAAGGCTTTTGGAATATAATTGTAATTGGGGTAATTTTGTAAAATTCATTAGCAAGATGGTCTCATTAGTACAAATGTAAAACGTATCACTCATGAAGTTCTGTCAGGTTTCTGTTGATGCAGGTGCTTACAATGTGTTAATTTACATCAGAAAAACAGCAGTGTGTGGAAATTGGGCAGCAGATTGGATTTACTTATTTTTCATTAGCACTTGGACTTTGATAAAGGGGAACAGAAAAGAGCTGCTTGACCTTTCGGTGCTTAAATTATTAAAGAGCAAATAGATTTGAGGTCTAGATGCTTGCAAATCTAATTTGTCTTGTGGAGTAAGGATGAAAAGGCATTTTGAGCTTGAAATTGCTCCAGTCAACTTAGTTCTTTCCTTAATGTATCTGAAGATGAATAGATGGTAGGCATTTAAAATGTAATATACAAGGAGCAGTGCATGTAGTATAACTAACATGAATTTGCCAGAGGAAAAGCAGCATTTTAACAACAGATTTGTTTCTAAAAAAACTACAATCTTTAGTTTTAATCACCAATCAAAAAATGAGAAGAATCTTCATTTCAACCAGTGCTGAAACAGGTCATATTATCTTGTGTAGTCTGAGATCCCTCTTATATTCAGTCCTGCTGCAATAAAAAACGGTAACACTATTCTCCTGAAGACAACAGCTGAATAACTTGGTTCACTATTCTTCATGCCTTGGGGAAACTGAGGGATTCTTATCTTTTTTCTAATATTAGGCAAGTGCATCCAGCTTCACTACCTTGCAAGAACAGTTGTTTACATCACCTGCTACTTTTTTTTCCGATACTCTATTTAAATTTGCAAACAGTATTTATTTTAGATTCATTGTAAATTAATAGTTAGAGGAGGCAACACGCACTCTCAAAAGTAGCTTGGAATCTCAATTCTAAGCAACTGTGTTTTGTTCCAGAAAATTAATGGCTAAAATCATGTCAAACATTGAGTTGGAAGAGAAGAAACAAGATTGTAATGTAGATATTTCATGGCTAGTTTTTATGGATCAATGCTCATAGGATCGAAGAAAGGTTCCCATGTATTGACCTTCATTTACTACTCAGCATGGAATTAATCAACTAATAAAAATCTTTCTGCCAGATGTGTAGACTTCGTTGCACCGAGGTGCGACATGTACAGGCAGTGGTCTTCAAGTGGGCACTCAAAACACTTGTCTCCCTGGCTTTACCAAACTTCCACGTGGTTAGATTTCTGTGTTGGAATCAGCATAAAATAAAACATCTAGATTTAGGAGTCCACTTGTAGGTGTCTACATGGGAGCTGAGTATTTAGTTATTATAGTCAGCGAAGCCTTGAAAGCAACGAAGTTGACCCAAAAGTAGACACCTCCTCTCTGATTATATCTTTAAGATCTATTGCCTCTACCAAGTAGCTCTCCAATGACTCTGGGAGTTTACGGATGGATAGGTATCTTCACGAAGACACTAAATTTAAGTGTCTCAGCATTAAACTAAATCTCCACTGTGGTTAAAGTCTAAATCAGGCAGAAGAAGAAGCATTAAGCATTCTCAGTGTTAACTTTCTGGGCATGTTCTATGAGCATAGGAAGTGCAGAAGAGCATAGGGCTTGAAAACATAGTGAACGCCATCTGTTGTACATGAGCAGTAAGGCTTTTCACCAAAAGCCAGTAAGATGGCCAAGAGAACTGGCATTCTTCTGCCTCTTGGCAGTGTTCAGCTATGAAGGCTCTGCGGACCTAGCATCGTCATTATAGAATTATGAAGTCATAGAATGACTTTTAAGATCCTCTAGTCCACCATCCCTGCTGTGGGCAGGAACCTCTTTCACTAGATCAAAGCCCCATCCAACCTGACCTCGAGGAGTTCCACTGATGGAGTATCATTCATGCACACAGCATTTTCTGAACATGCAAAGGCAGCTCAGGCACAGAAGCAGGACATGAGTCGGGTTGTGCCAGCTTGGTAAGGCTCCAGGGAGTGCGGCAGCTGGAGTGCTCCGCATCAACACTCAAAGCAACTTGAATCTTGCAGAGCTGCAGCAGGTGCAGGAGCTCACTGACTGTGAGCTGACTGGGTGATTTCTAAACCAGATTTGGCCTCAGCAGGGGAGTAACCGTAGCTGTGCAGTGATAGCAGTAAGCCAGTAAGCCCTGTTGGGTCTAGACCGAGGCCTGCACATGCCCAGCCCAAATGCCCCTGTACTTTGGGCAGAGTCTTCTGTAAACATGAACATCTTCCTGTGGATGACAGCATGGGGGCAATGCGTCAGAAGACTGTGTGGCTGGTTCTTCTTTAAGAAACATACCTTACTCAGAGATTGCTGCCTTTTATGAATTATCAGTTTCAAAGGTCATAAATTGTTACTATCTGTAGGTGATGTGAAAAAGCATGGACATATTTCTGCTTTAACATCAATTACCTGTACTGACTTGCTTACTGGAATTCAAGATACCAGGAGACAAATAATGATTAAGAATCACTGGTCCCCAGTGAAGCAATAAACTTGCAAACTAGTCCTCTTTAGAGACATGGTCTTCCCGCTTCATAAATTTGAAAGCACTGACTCAGGCTTTTACAGCAACTGCGAGGCTATAATGAATACACTGTTTGCATATGCAGCAGAAATCACAATTTTTCTGTTCCTGCTTGAATGTCCACAGCACCTTTACAGTGGAGATGGATGGACTGATCCCTGTAAGTCCCAGTACAGCAAAGAATGCAAGTGCAAACTGAATTGCTTTGCAGAATGCAGAAACACTTTAAAACATCGTTAGCTCTAAGATGCGTAGAATTGTTTTGCTGATGGAGAACAACTTCCATCAAAAAGTGTTTCATTCTTGCTCAGCAGCAGTTCATATGCCACCAAAGTTTTAAAATACTAGAATTTACTCTATGTGTGCTTTTATAAATAATTAGAATATCAGTGGTTAAGTAAATACTATTACCTGTCTCTTTGTAATTTATTTCTTCATTTTTATTTTACCACTCTTCATTCTTTTAAGACAGGATAGAGAATGGAATCTATAGATTTACAGGTACTTCTGTGAACAAAATAATACTTAATTCTTAATTTTAGCACTAATCAAGCAAGCTTTTTCTGTACAAGAGTTTGAAAAAGAAAGTGTTTTTATGCATTTGCTAAATGAAAAGCTATGGTGTGTATTGCTAATTTTGATTTTTCAAAGAGAAATTTATTTGAAAGAAATTAATTCTTATATCTGAATCTCAAAATGACATTTTTTCCCCATGTCCTTTTAACAATTCTTTTCTTCCATAAAAACTGGTATGCTGTTATGGTTTCAGAATGAGTTGACTGCCCAAGTCTTAAAGAAGTATTGTGTTTTCTTTCTACGCTCTCAGTGTCTATCAAATAGTTGTTGAAGAACGCCCAAGGAGGACCAAAAAGACATCTGAAATCCTGAAGTGCTACCCAGTGCCCATTCATTTCCAGAATGCCTCGCTTCTGAATTCCCAGTACTACTTTGCTGCAGAGTTTCCAGCCAATGGTTTACGAGCTGCTCAGCCTTTTACTATTGGTGATAACAAAACATATAGTGGTTTCTGGAACACTCCTCTTCTTCCTCATAAGAGCTACAGTATCTATTTTCAAGCTGCCAGCAGAGCCAATGGGGTAAGTCTTAGGACAGGAATGTTTTTATATCATGTTTCTGAGCAAACCAATGATTGGCACCACCTAGCAAGATGCTCAATTTAGTTGCTAATGAAAAAAAATTAACTGTGAAATTTAACACACTCATTTTAAAAAATAACGTTTTCCAAACACAATATTGCTTACTGATTAAAGGTTACAGGAAGGAGGGGAAAATTGCACATGTTGTAAATAGTGAGCAGGCAAAGTAACATGTTACCATTTTGTCTTATTATCTAAAAGCTGTCCAATGAGTGTGTTTGGCTGTTATGGTTCTGGGGTTTTTGTGGGGTTTTTTCTTGCTTTAAAGAGGAGAGTGATGTGATTCCTTTTGTTAAGTTTAAGCCAAACTTGACTGTTGGTTTTAGCACATCTGTCTAGCCTGTCCGGTCTCATTACCTTAGTTTTTAACATCTTGAACTCCCATTTTCTCATTTGGTTGCCCTGGCTGAATTAGAAATCACTTGTTTTGTCCCCTTTCTGCAAACAGTAGAAGAAAAATAAGTAGATGGACATGAAATGAAAAGTGTGTAAAAAGGTCTTTGCAGATCATGTTTCATCGGACTAATTCTTCCTGGAATTGTTTTTCATTTCCTGGACAGACCTACCCAGAGCCCTTCAGTTCTTGATAAGCCTTGGCTGTCTGCACTGACAGCCTGGAAATGTTTTCTGCCTGTAAGCATAATGGTCCCTCTTTCACAGCGCACTGACAGTGCAGAAATGTGAAACACCATCGATTATTTTTTCTTTGTAAAATGTTGCCTCAAACTGTACTATCTGTAAGACAGAAAAATCTCCCAAGGTCATTATGTTGCCAAAGTAAAAAAAAAAAAAGCTGAATAATTCCTTGTGCTCTTGTGAATATCTTTCACATATTTCCTGTTTTAGAGGAATCTTAAGCGAAATGTTTATGTGCTGTACCCCAGCAGTGTTTGTCCCTATGATGAGAGCACATTGGAGTTGCTTAATAGGCAGTTCACTATGTAATGAGGCACACTAAACGAACACTTCTCTGACATTTTATCAGTGCTTCTAAGAATAGAATCATGGATGACTTTCTTTGCTTAGAAACACAAGATCTGACCTTTTTCCTCTTTATTTGACACAGGAAACCAAAATCGACTGCGTCAGAGTAGCCACAAAAGGTATGTCCATATTATGTCATGTATTCTGTATTTCAGCTTGCTGACCTTTCCTTCACATGGTCTTTGCGAACTTCCAGACGTGTTTGTGTTGCTAAAAGGCATCACTGTTATAGAATTTTAAATGATTCATTTGTGTCTCTAGCTGAGATTCAGAAAGTTTGTTTGTTTGTTTGTTTTTAATAATAAATGTATTACTCATTTTCAGTTGTCTGAGCACAGAGTTTTTAAAATATATTCTGTGGGTTTTTATATGATCTCACAATAAATATTTTTGACTTGTATATATATGGTAGAGTTGTAAAATTGCCAATTACAGTGTGCATACTGGCTGCTTATACATCCACAGTGAAAAATTAGCCCTTACTCCTAAGCAATTATCTTAATTGCATTATAAAAAAGAAGTGGAGAAATCATGTTCTTCATTTTCGTGTTAGAGATCAGCTATCTTTACTGGACTGTCAGCACATGATATTACCATTTGTGAGACAAGTTTGTATAATTGAGACAATGATAGCTGTAGGTTTGATCCCCAAACAGGGAAGGATAAACATGCTGCTGATATATTTAGCTTTGGAGGCTAGGATCTGTCTGTGGTTATCTTTGTAGTCTCACCTTTTTAGTTCCTCTAGCTGGTGGCAACTTCAAAGCCTGAAAAAGAAGTGATGGGATAGTGTGATTATTTGGAAGTTGTAATAGAGGAAATGGAAGGGAAGTACTGCTCTGAGTAGGAACAGGGAATACCACCTTGCGATTTGGGCACCTCATAAAAATATGACACCTCACTTCTGCACCACCGTTCCTTGCAGAAGATCATTCATGTCTCATAGTGAACATCCCTAATGTAACTGATTCCTCCATGATCTCCTGTACGTGTGGACTTCACAATTCCACCACCACCACTAAATCTAAGCAGGATGGATGAGAATCTTATTACTTAAGAGTAGCAGAAATGTTAGCATATAATTGCCTCTTTTGAAAGGCTGAATCCTCCTCACTAATGACAAATACATGTTTTATGGCTCTTTGAAATAGTTGCTGGGATGTTTTTTTCCAAACCAAGGAAGTAGTTTTTATTCTAATTTACTAACTGACTGCCTACTAAACCTCAGAAAACTTTTCAATATCTAAACTAAAACCCGTTAAAATATAGATAAGAAATTAATTCCAGCTTCAAGTGGAAACCTGTGTTATTTTTTTCAGTAGCGTCAGTGATACTGAGAGTCAACTGCATTGCCTCAGATATTTTAAGTGATTTGAGGAGTGGATTTTAAATTATTTTAAAATTTGTGTTCCTAGTCACTAGTGGACGTTCAACTATTTTAATTACTTGATTGACTGAAAAATCTTCCTCTCTCATTTGAGAAGCAAGGATTGGAGTAGCTTTCAATAGCAACAAGCTGCTTTGAGCTAACCCATTTGGCAATGGATGTGTGAGGAATGCAGCTTTTATTTTAAACAAATCTCCATATATTTTTGTTGTGAAAGTATGTTTCAGAACTCTTCATATGACCTTTGTGAAGCCTATAAAATACTATGAAAGCTGGTCATGAGGGCTTTGAAACCAATGGCAAAGTCCTTGATGGAAAATTTTCTTAGGGGACCATGACATATTTTAATATGTTATTACTCCTGCATGTCTGTACAGACTTTTTCGCTTTAAGATCTGAGATACTTGAGAGAAAAGCAGACTTTGCACTTTCCACATATGGACTAGAAAAAATAGCAAAAATACTTGACATCTGTAGGTCAGAAGTCACCACAACTGCAGCAGGGCAAGCCAGAGAATTGTCCTCTCCCCTTCACCTCCCCTTCTGTCCACAACCCTCCAAATGGCTTCATACAGCATTCACGTTGCCTGTACCCGAGGCTGCTCTAAGCGCTGCTGTGCCTGATCTCTTACCCACGTGCCCTATTTTCCACTGAGTAGACGCTCTGCTACCAGACAGTAAGCTACTTAAGGTCTATCATGTGCTTGTTATGTCCATTTATTTATTACAGTGCTTCTTATAAATAAGGTTGTGAATGCTTTCCAGTACAACATCTAGTTCTCGTATACTAATAACGTTTCTGAAATGTTTGTATTCTGAGCTTCTGTTATCTTTAAAAGTATGACTCCAGTGGGTTTTAAAGGTAAAAGGAAGTGGTTTAGGCTATTCATGTATAAAACTGGCACAGTCTTCTTTTAAATTAAGGTCTGACCCTGAAAATACCTACAGCCTTGTGTAGGCCATTGGAGTTAGTAGACATACTCTAGAATTTAATACGTATATGGGTAGCCATATGTGTTTAAGCCCTAATCAAGTCAGTTACCTATTTCTGAGCACAATGAATAATCACACTGACCAACTTGCAACTATTCTGTCTTAGACATTTTGTTGGATAAAGACCTGTGCTATAAAGTATACCCTGTGAAACAAACTTGAAAGTGCAGCCAACTGTCTGCTGGTTTCTTAAAAGTTTCTAGAATATCATTTCCATGGAATTTCAGGATTGCATCGACCAAATCAGGGGTTCTTCCTGGGATCCAGGACACCTGAGGCAATCCCCAGACTGCTCCCCTGAGGGAGCTGAGCTTGGCCAAGACACCTTGTTGACTGTATTAAAGGTGTTTGGTTAGCCTGTTTGAAGTCTGCCCTCAGGACCAATATGGGATTTCATAGACTGACATGAGCATAGCTATGTCATTTGCTAGTTGTATTTCTTGTAATTATCCTGACTCCAGATAATCTAAAAGTTGTTAGTGCCCTTGAGACCTTCTTAAGATCATGAGATTCTGTTTTGTCATTGAGTTTTTCAGTGTTCATTCCCACCGTATGCTTTTGTATTTTTTGTTAAAATAAAACTAGTGAGTGAATGTAAAGATAAAAAGTGTTCTTGCCACAGATCCAGCAGAACCCTTGATTAGGTACTTCACTTTTCACTCCAGTTGATGTCAACAGGAATAATGCATTTCTTACTGTCAAGCATGTGCTCAGCTGGCACACATGAAACTGTGTTGCTGGATGAGAGCCAAAGTGCACCAGATAGCCTGTTACTGTATTGACAGGCTTCTTGTTAGGAAAGTACAGCCTGAGTCACATGCATGTGTGGGGTCAGTAGCTGGATAACACTTTCTCATTCCATCAAATATACTTTAAACAACCTCAATTTGTAACTTTTTAAAAACTGTTCTTGTTTTATGACCTTTACATTTTTATATCTGGAACCTCTGATAAATGTGTTCTTTTAGAGATCATATAAAAATCCTCATTGCAATGATTGTAATTTAGGATCAGAATATTGGGTTTTGTAGAGCCAGAATTTCTTCTCCTGCTTCTGCTGAAGTCAAAGGAAACCTTTGCCACTGATTTTGCTAGGAGAAGGATCAGACAGCATCTTCTTGTGATGCAGAGTCTTAATCTTCTGTAGAGAAAGGCTTCTAGGACCTTTGTGACTATTTGGTCTATATGCAAATGGGGAGACTGCAGGGTTCCCACTCCCATTATTTTTGACAAGATAATTAAACAAACAAACAAACAAAAGTTAGGAAGAGATTTCTGTACCAGTGCTAATAACCGTTGTCGTATTTTGCTTGAAATATGGCTTTCATATACTTACTCTTTCTTCAAGCTAAATGACTGTAAAATCTCAGCAGACTAAGTTGAAAACATTCCAAAACTCCTCCAAGTTTATTGCTATCAACTTTGTGGTGTTTTGTGATTTATATTAAGACTATATTTCCTGATACCACTTGCAGCACTGTCTGGATGGAAACATCTTGGTTATCTCCTAGGAATCCAGTTCTCAAGAGGGAGACATCATTGTTCTAATTTTGCAGTATTGGAAGGCTTTCATTAATTATGAGAGAGAAAAGGATATTATAATACTTTAAATCCAATAGCAACAGTACTCTAGCAGCTACGATCAACACCGCATTTCAGTGTTGCAGAGGGATATTTCAAAATATTATGCAGCAGCAGTTTTGAGTTTAATTGTCTGCAGATGGTAGATGATCTATTTTCCTCACTCATTGCCACATTTCTAATGACACCCAGTCTGTTCTATGTAAATGAGTGATCTTTCATATAATTTTGTCCTTAATTTTCCAATATTTTTTCTTTGCATCATTCTCCAGCTGCATCATGTTGGATCTGACCTTTTAATTTTTTTTTATATCCCTTAATATATATATATCGTAGTGTACTTAACCATTTTGAGGCAATCGTAGAACTTCTGGCAAACAAAGAAATACAAGATTTTATTAATGTGAGCCATGATAATAGTTATCTATACCAGTTAGGGATTGTTACAGCTCTGACAGAAAAGTCTAAGTACTTCAGGCACACAAACAATTCAGGTTTTTCAGCTTTTTCTTGTCTTAGTGGCAAAATGTGAACTTGAAACTTGGACCTCAAACAGTTACATGGGTACCTAACTACAAGCATGCCAACAGAGTGGTCATTCTCTGTATGCTGAACACTCAGTGCATGTGTAGTGTGTGTGTTTTCAGAACAAAGGCCCAAGTAGATAAAAGAAAAATGAATCTTAGCTAGCTCAAAAATACTTTACATTAAAATTATCTTAAAAACATATTATATGAAAAGTGCACTGTTATGAAATAGGCAAAGAGTGAAATTAGTTCAAATTACCTGGACAAGTTAGTACTAGAGTAATCTGAATAAGCAGTTAACTTTCACTTAGAAAGCACAGTGCTGTGACTAGCAGAGCCAAAGTCTCCAGTTTCCTCAAATGCATTATAGGTAAATAATGTGCTCTGAGTCCTTTTCCTGAATAAAAGTCACGCATGAAAGCTTATTAATTTGCAGAATAACCGAACTAACAACTGAAGATGGAAAGGAAATTGTGGGAGTTTTTTGGGTTTTATTTGTAAGAAGTTCAGACAATAAACTGTTGACCGAGATTCTTCTTGCTGGCGTAGCTTCAGTCTGGCTTTTTTTTCCCTCATGCATGCTGACCTGGAAATCTTCCTTTGCCTTAGCTGCGATAATCGTGACTCAGCTTACAACACCATACATTCGCATCGCCCCCGCTGCAGGCGACGACCAGCTAACAGGTCAGATGTTCAAGTATAGACAAGTCATCATGCCCATTTTGTCTCATTTTCTTTGGCTCCTTTTCCCTGACCTTTTTCCTCATTCTCTCCTCATAAATAGTTTTCTGTGTTAGAGGTTTATTTTTGTTTATGATTTTTTCTTCAGCTCCATTAAATTAAATTGTGTGCTTGGCACCAAAACTTACACACACATCCCTGTATGTACAACTCCGCTGCATGTACCCATTGTGTGTGTGTTCTATGGAATGTTCCTTCAAGCCTGATGGTGAGATTTAGTCTTGCTCCATCTATAAATTAAATGATAGTTTGAACATAGACATATACCTGTACCTGTTTGATTTTTTTCCTATGTTATTAGATGGAAGGACTAGAGTCTCTAAATAATTTAGACTCAAGTTGAATGTGTAAGCTAGGACAAAGATCTTATATTAATGGATTATTTTATTTTTACTGCAGAATATTGGGAAGGTATTTTCTGGCAACATTTCAATATGCCAAAATTAAAATTAAAACATAAAATTTATTCCATTTTAATTATGTCGTACTTGAGGCCTAGAAATAAAACAAATTAACATAGCAGTTGACTTATGAGAATGAACAAGACTGTAAGGTTTTTAAATCTAATTGTCAAACTCAGTATACAAGTTTATCAATAATTAGGCTCTGTGTGGCTTAAAGGCCAGTTCGGAATGTACCAAAAATTCTTTATGAAGTTGGGGAAATGCATAAAGCTTTTAAGGGATTTCGAAGCCTTTTTTTTTCAAACAGAACATTAAAAAATGTAGAATCTAAGGTGAGTTTGATGGAATTTGTAACAAGAGAAGTTAGACCTTGTCTATCGGCATTTAGCCTATGATAAAATCATTGCCTTTTTCTAGAATATTGACATAGTTACTTGGGAAGCATGTAAATGTTCTTACTGGGGTGTCTAAGGGACAAGGAGAAGTTCAGATCTTAGGATCTGGATCCGGCCATAGTCAATAAGAGACAGTTCAGTGATTCAGCTTAAGGTGAGAGGGTTGGTCAGGTATCAGCTATAGGTTTTAATTCTGGTGTTTATGTTATAATAGCTGAGTAATCCATAGTGCCCAAGTTACCATGTCAATCAAAACAAAATTGTTGCATGCTTAACTGTGTTGTGTGATAACATATGAACTAATCAAAATAATGTATTCAGATGATACCAGAAAGTACTGCCTTGCTCATTAGTGCTCAGTTATTTTCTACTTGAGAGTACAAGTAGAGCTTTGAAGAGACAAAGAACATCTCTTCCATATCCTTGTAATTCAGCAAGTTTTGATTTCTTCATCACAGTACTCAAATAAGCTTACAGATTTTTCCATGTGGAGAACTAAATGTTTTTCTTCTTTTATTTTTCATTTGTTTTAATGCAAAACTGGGTAGCTACAGAACACAATGGAGATACACCTGTTTCACAAGAGGGAGATGGCTGTAGTAGTTAATGAGAGAACAGAGGTATAGGTAGCATAGGACAGCCAGCAGAGTATTTACTTGGTTGTTTTGTCACTGGTAGCTCATAGCATTGGCACTCTATGGTTTTCTCTCAGATCTGTGACTTGTATTTCCTTTTTTAAAGAAAAATAAATTTATCTGTTCTACCAGAAACTAATTTTTACAGTGAAAAGGAGAGTATCAAGTGATGCCGGCAAACAGCATTTATGTTAAACATATTAAAAAAATCTGAAATTCTCTCATCATTTTTGCAAACCCTTGTCATACTTGAAAGACTGTGTGACCAAAAAGGAAGAAGCATCTTCGTCCTTAGTTGCCACAGGTGCAATGGGGAGTGAAAAAACCTCACCTAGCCCACGTGATCGGTCCCAAGACAGTAATAGGAATTCATGTTTTTCCCCAGAGACAGCCTGGGTAGGGGTCCCTTAGGCAGGTTTTTCAACTTCAGGATAATGCAGCAGTAATGGTATCTGCAGTATCCATAAGGAACCCCAAAATTTTCTTAAACGAGATTTGCAGGAGGTGAACTGGACATGAGGAAACAGGGAATGATGTAGGTTCTCCCCACACTTCTCTCCTACAAATTCTCAGTCTGTGGAAAGGATTTACATGTAGAAGGATATCTTTATGTGGAAGTCATAGGACTGTTCCTAACTGTAGTTACCACAAGCCCTACAGCTGTAACTGTTAAATAATTTTGCTTAGCATTTTCTGTTCTGTGCCTTTTCCTCTTTTTGTTGCTCAGCACCAAAGTAATTACATTTGAGATCAAGAAATCACTTCTGTCTTTTAGCATTTGAGGAAGATACATAATTAGCAGTGGGGAGGTCTGAGTTGGGATTTTCTTTTTTTCAAGTGGAAGTTGATGCTTCTTGCATAATGAAAATTTAAAATTTGGGCTTCATTCCTGAATACTGTTACCAATTTTTGCGAAGATCATGGTAATACAGCTCAGCTTTCAAGACAACTCTATGAGGACTCATTTCCTTCACCCTTGTCAGGAACTCATCCTGGCCCTTACTGATATAGTTTATAAACAATACATTACTATTTCCCCTTTTTCTTTCTTTTCTTCTTCATTTTCCTATGAAAATAAGATGAATTCCATTTATAGGGTTGCATCCTATTTGCCCAAAATATTTTAACAGGCACTTCTTATTTCAATACTGCATTGCAGCCTATAGCAAAGGGAACTTTTCCTTGCAGTTGCACTTAAATACCCACAATGTCTTTTAGTTATAGTATAGTGAAACATGCTGTAAGGGCATGTGATTTTGAGTCTTAAAAGCCAAAATAGGCAAATTAGTGTTGTTAGTATTAGAGAATACTTTGTTATCACAGATTCAAGGGGGCCAGTTAGCTCAGTCAGTTAGAGCGTGGTGCTGATAACACCAAGGTCATGGGTTTGATCCCCATTCAGTCCCCAGGTGTTGCCTGATGTAGTTGAGAGGCATCCGTGCCCATGATAGGGAGGTTGGATTAAATGATCTCTAAGGTCCCTTCCAGCCTAGGCCATTCTATGATTCTATGATTCAGTATCTCAGGAATAGTGTTTAGCTTTCTCTTTTAACCTTACAAAAAGTAACTAACTTGAAATCCACTCATTTGACACTATCCTTAAACAGATAAGGTGAATACCCAACTAATAACATCTGTCAGCCAGGAGAAAAGGCTCTGTATACATGAAGTTTAATAGTCTTCATGATACTATCTCCATGTTTTCATAGGCAAATACAGTTTAACGATACAGTTGAAATCATGTAGAAGGTTAACAAAAAACTTATGGCATAGATCACTGACTGTATGGTCTTGATTTTAAAGCTGAGTAACAAATCCATGCTTTTGAGAAAACCTGAAAGCATTTGCAGTTTGCTTCACTATTTTGTAAGAGACACGTCCTTGTAATAGGTTTAAATTGGACATATTTGGTATTCGCTTGCCCCTCATTTATTTTGTCTGCATTCTGATAAAATAACATACTTGGAATTATGATTAGGATGTTCATTCTTCCAGGCATTTTCTTAATTGTTGAAATATGTCTGAGCTACTTACATTTAAATTAAAGTATTTCCATTTGTGATTTAGTGGAGCAGCCACTACTTTACTGGATATTATCAAGACTGATTTCCGTAGAACGCCTTTTTTACTACCCATTGTTAATTACACATGCAGCTGGAAGGGAGAGTTCTGTATTGTACACTCTTCACAGATTTAATTCAATGCAAATCAGATACAACAAGATATGTAAGAAGTTTTGTAAAGTAACTGATACTTAAGAATTAGGAAGAATTTTTTTAAAAAGATAATAGCAATGTTAAATCTTCACTGATTTTTACCCTGCATATTTTAAGGTCTAGATGAGCAGCATACTTTCTAACTAAGTTAAAAGTAGTCATAAAATAATCCCAATTTGTTTCTTCTCCCTTATGAAGTTTGCAGCGTAATAAAATTAAATATTTCTTCAGATGTGTATTCAATACATAGCAAGATTTATTGCTGTAGTCTAGGTCAGATTCTGTTCTCAGACATTCCACTGTAAAAGTGAAAAGAATCAACTGAAATAATTAATGAAATCACAGCACATGGGATTTTTTTATGTCAAAGGATTTATTCCTGATTTATACGGTCTTACTGAAAACACTGTTTATTAACACAAAAAACAACAACATTAGTTTGAGAAGGAGTTTTTTTCTTATTTATCTAGTTTGTTGTCCTTTACAACAAATGGAGAGACATTCGCATTCGTTTTTCTCCATCCTGAACCACGTAACATTGATCTGGATGCATTCTGGCATGTTGAAACTCAAAGTGCTATTTTGGGTAATGGACAAGCCATGATTTCCTAGTGGAGACTACAATGCTGTTGGTAGTAACAAAACTATGTGCAGACATGTCTGCCTGCAGGTTGAATACACCATTTCCGTAGTTTATTCTTCTCTTGATACTTCTGAACAGCATTTACATCAATGGAGACCAAGCACCTATGTAGTATCATGTCAAAGCCATATTACGATGGTGTTGCAAGGCCAAGTGACAAAGAAAGCGGAGTGAGAATGGATCTGACTCTCAAGAAGTGAAATTCTGAGCCTATTTTTACATGATGTCCCCAGCAATTGTTGTACTGGTGGTTCAAGGATTCTGGTCGTCTTGCTCAGCCAGGCACAATGCAAAGTGAGAGGAAATCTTCCTACTTTCTGCAGCACTGCCCGAATGCATTTCAATGGGCTGGACTGTCACTTGTGATTTATTGCCCATTTCTTGTTCTTTTATGTGTTATATTTGTCATTTTTTCAGTGACAGTTTCATCTATAAAACAGTATAGGTACAAGAAAATGTTAAGAGGATACAGGAGTGCCATGGGAGCTACTGTTTCCTTTTCTCTCTTTTTGTTTTTCCTAGTACAGAGTCAAATGTCAGGTTTTCTGTTTTTAAGACAGTGCAGCCAAGGAATCTGGGATTTTAAACATAACATTTTCCACGGAGCATATGAAGAAGAGCTGAAGTTAAACAATTAGACAGAGACAGCC